CACCGCTGGTGACTCCAAAAATGTCCACAGAGACTGAGGGACTGAAACGGGTTTCTGTTTGACTTTGTGAGCTTGAGTGCGCTTTCTTTCGCTGGGTTCGGGGGGAGAGTGGGACGACGACTGGGTCGCACAGGAGGAAGTGCAAGAACCTTACAACTGCCCTTGCGGCATGAAGTGTGGGTCCTCGTCAGAGGACTCTTGCCCCTACGGCTGCTTGGCAAAGAAAGAAAGGCCGAATCAGGCCGCACCCCCTCGTCCGCTCTGTCTGCCCAGCCTCGCGCCTCTCGGAAAGGAAGCTTCCGCCAATCTCGGTAGAAAAACTTTGATCCGGCCCCTTTTGTTCTCAGTATGTCTGAGTATGTCTCCTCAAAAATCCCTCAATCTACTGAGCCATCTTTCAGGCGAAGCAACGTGACAGTCCAGGACACCTGGACACCCGGAAAACATCGGAAAACCGAATGCCCATTGGCGTCTCTGGCGCTCCAAACACCTCGGCTCGGTCTGGCGCTCCACATCTCGCTGGTGCGGTGGTGATCCGACTCGCTCCACGAGGTGCAGACTTTTGGTCTGACTTCGAGGAGAATGAGAAGGTCCCCGAAGAGGATCACAGCAAGGACCGGTCTCGACCTGTGGCGTTGGACCCGGAGATGGGTTCAAAAAAGGAGGGCGAAGGCTGGTGTGGGTCCACAGGTTGGTATGGGGATATTTCTATTTAATGGTCATGGTTTGTATTGAATGTGTCATATTTATACGTGAAAAACATGTGAATACCCCGAAAACCCACGACCTTGATACGTGGGTCCAACAGTACAACAAAAGAACTCAGACATCGTTTCACTTTCCAAGAAGGGCCCGACCAACGCGACTGAGAACAGTGAGCGCTTCTCAGACTCCTTTTGAGACTGTGTCTTGTTTCTTAAAGGTTCTTGGTTTGCGCCTTTTACAGATTTGGATCCGCTTTCGATTTGAGGACTTGATCGATGTCCTTTTCCTGCGCAAAAAGTGCTGAGTGCGGTGGCATTTTTGGGGTGACCACGCACAGGGCGCGAACGAAGAAAAGGGGCCCGAGCGTGGCCGAGCTGACGACGAGAACCTTCAGCCGTTCACCCAGAGAGACCGAGAAGATCTGAGAACTCGCCTCGACCTTCGATGAAAACACACCGCACTCCACACAGTGACGACTCCACCCACACAGTGTGTCCACTCAAAAAGACTCACGAAAATAAAAACCCGCACCGTTGGTGTTGTAGAACTGCCTTCGTCTTCATGCTCCGCGCAGATTTGGCAGTGCGGAGCTTCTCCTCCCTGCTGCAAGAGGCGAATCCGCAGCCGAGCCGACGGTTCGTGCGTTCTTCCACCGGCGGTTTTTCTTCGGTGGAAGATGGGTTTCAACCCGCGGAGCACCCGCGGAGCACCCGCGGAGCACTGTAGACTAGGTGAAGAAATGCCACCTCATGTGGACTGTAAACCTCAAGAGAGATGGCTCAAATGCGCTTTGTTCAACCTCTTCATATGGTTCCAGTGAAATATCATCAGGGTCTACGTCCAGTCTATGCGCGTTCTTCCGAAGACGCCCCAACGGCCGCTGCACGCACGCGACCGGTGACGGGGCCCTGCGGTCAAACCACTGGGCTTTTTGATGCAAAGAGTCGTTTTTTTGGGACGGAGCGATCGGACGCGAACCGAACGGGGCGAAACTGGCCCTAGCACTAGTAACAAGGTTCGCTACGAACGGGGCGAACGAACCATCGCTACGAGTCCGGAGCGATCGGACGCGGCACCGAACGGGTTGCGGAGTTCCATGTCTTCAAATACGGCCCATCAGAGGTTCGATGGCGCAATCCCCAAGTTTGGTGTGTCATATGGAACCCCGATCTGTCAAAGACATGTTTGGGTTCGTGTCATCTATTCTGAAACCCCGGTATCCAATGTGAGTTTGCAGGGGGTAGGATTTATGGAGTATGGACTTGTGATTGTAAAAGGGCTACTTAAGGGGTGCGAGAGCCAACGGAAGTCCGTCCCTAAAATGGGGAGCATTGGATTGATCTAGACAATATCTAGAGTGCAACTGATCTTTTCGTGTCCTTTCCGATGACCCTAAAAGGTCTTGGCCACAAATCCTGTCCATTCATATAGAGCCTTTTGTGACCTCTATTTGGGACGACCAACCACCCACAATGGTCGAACTTCCAATCAAAACTGAGGTCAAATGGCTCCTACATGTGTGCATATGAATATTTCGTATCCTTTCCCGGCCCAAAAACATCGAGGACGTGGCGTGCTCCTTTGGACTTCAAGTTCGCTGTGAACCGACAGTCCGGGGTCCAGTCCGGGGAAGCGGCGGTTTCAGAGGTTTTGGAGATCTTGTCAAGAGACGAGGCGCCTATGGGCTGAAGCGAAGCCATCTTCAGTGGCGTCTTTGGGTGTGAAAACTGGACAGTTGGTCGGAGGTATTTTATGAACATGCCTCTGGGATGCTCTGGCTCTGGTATTTGAATAGGGAAGGCCTGCTATGCTCTCGCCCCCTGGGTTTGGATGCCGTGGGTACTCATGTTTCTTCCGAACCGAACGCAGGGGGAAGCCTCGGAGGTCACCGAAACACGGTGACCGCGAATCGCCTGGGATGACCTGCGGCGTCCCGGAAAAACCACCAACATCCACCAACCACCGAATGCCTCGTCAGGTGACAGGTGACAGGTGTGGTGTCGGACGGTGTCAAAGAAGCCGAGGAAAGACATGTCCTCCACTGTCGACATGTGTCGACTAAGACATGTCCTCCCTGGAAGTCCAGTCGACCGACATAGACCGACGATGTTTTTAAACACATGGGTCTGATTCGGTGATCCCAAGTTCGGAATTGTCCTTGGCAATTGGGTGCCACCAACAAACAGTCGAACGGGGCCTGTAGGGTAAGACCATAAAAAATCACTACTCCTAGAAGTCCAGTCCGACCCAGTAAAACGGTACCATACGGTACCTGGTCTTTGACCTCGCCAAGTCGTGGTTTTTTGTATGACCAGGTCCAGTAAAATGAGATCAGGCCATCCTGTAGGGGACCCCTCAAGACGTTCAATCACAAACGACTCATCGTCCAGGGAGTTCGGGCCATTCGGGTGGTTTTCTTGGACATCCAAATTCCGTGGTGCTCTAGGACACCGATTGTTCTTTTTGTTCCGCTCAAAGTGCTAGTTCGGGTTGAGAATTGTCCACCTGGAACCCCAGTCCCAACCAGAAACAGTTCTGATTGTTCCAAGTTCTGGCGCCAGCTCTTGAAATCCTTTACGGAAATGGCTGGGACTCGGGAGTTTTCATCCATTTGCTTCTGGAGAACCACCGGTTTGCTCTTCCAACTGTTCACGTTCGTCAGGCTGAAATCGGGGGATGACCCACGTGTAGTGTTCCTTAAGGACTGTGTGTTGAGTCCCTCGTTCCAGGAACACACCGGCCCCGCTCCGCTCACGCTCACGTTCATCGGCCTAGACCGGGGTCGGCGGACACGGCGCCGCTTCCAACCGCCGCCCAACCGCCCAGGACCATGCGCGCGCCCGAAAAGGCCTCCAGCTCGGAGCCTCAGGAGCGACAAGAAACAGGTGGGTGCACTTGATTTGAGGTTCAAGAAAGGCCCCGTGTGCAACAGCTAAGCCAAAGATAGCCAAAGTATCAATCATAAATATATAGTATCTTATAAGCAATATATGTTTTATACTGCAACTCCTGATACACGGATTCTGCGGGCAAGCGTCCTGGGGGGAGCTTCTATTGGACGCTGTCAAGACCCACTCCAATCCGACGCATCGCTACCCAATCGACCAGTGATCGACCTGGAAACTTCGTGTGGATTTGCAAGGTGTTTAGAAGTCCAGTCCGACCGTTTTTGTTGGGCCACTTCCGAGCAGTCGATTGATGAAGAACTTGGGATCAGAGGTCGGTGGACTGGACTCGCAGAGTGGTGGACAAAACCACACGGCTTCGTCCGAGGCGGCAATCGACCAGATCTCAAGCGATCCTCGTCGACCGGTTCGGATCGCATCGCGACAGACCTCCGGGGTCATCCATGGGACTGGAAGTTCTTTGGGCGACATGAACCCTATCTGATATCTGCAGCACCCGACTCTACAGGTCTCCGAAATGCTTTGCGGACCTCAAATTCGCAGGTGACCTGTGAAGTCGGGTGCTGGTAGAAGTCCGAGGATGTTGGGGATCTGACCCGAACTTCGGGTCATTTAGATGAGCCTTTCTTTATAGGGAAGAGTCAACTGGACTAACTGGACTCTGAGGACTACGGGTAGTTTCGATGAATCTGGGGAACAACCCATGCTAGTCCTTGAGTCGCTCCCTATCTAGGAGAGCAAGACTTGGTTGCGGTCCCTCCCCCACCGCTTTGGGAAACTTCCCTGCTGGTCTGCATGTCTCTCCCCCCTCGCACGCCCCGCGACGCGCGGAATTGACGGCCGTCACGAGGCCTCGTTCGGGGCAGTTCCGTCGCCACGGTGTGGCTGGCGTCGTGTTGGGCGGGGGTCAGGCATTTCTGCACCGACCGGAGTAGAGGAAGCTGCTGTTAGGCAAGGGGAAGATGTGTAGGAAGATGTCGACATGGAACACAAAGAGTACGGAAGAATTCCAAAACAGAGGGTTGATTTCGATCTTATTTTCGTAAAGAGTGGCATTAGGGTTGTCCGATGCTAATTTAATCTGTTGCAGATGTCTTCAACGGAACTCGTGACGGTTCGACTTTGCGAATAGCCAGTGGCCACAGGCTCCGAGTGAGGTCGCTGAAAACGGACGGCATCGCATGATGGGATCTTTATAAGCATGCACCAAACATGTATAGTTCTTAATGTTTTTAGGTGACCAGGACAGCAGCGATGAATCAATCATGATCATGACGCTGTGTTCCAATTCTGTGTCATTTATCATCTTTCTTGGAGGTTCAGAACATGTTGTGTTCCAACACTGAGGCTGGTACTTACCCATTTAACTTTTTGTGCTTCCTTTCCGCCATGGACTTTCTTCATTCCGCAACAGAGGCTGGAGAAGGAGAACTGGAGAAGTAGCAAGCTGTTCAGAGTCCATGTGCAAGACTGCAAGACCAGCCCTAATACGAGATGCCCACGCATCCGTCCGAGTCTGCCGAAGTTCTCTCTCAACGAGAGACTCTCTGAACGGCACGGATGTTTTCAGGAACGTCCTTTCGTTGTCATTCGAAACCAGACCCCCAAATACGTCGTCATTGGTGTTTTTCAGCGAGTTCGCGCTGCAGCACATCTTGCGAAGCAGCCGTTGGAAGCTGAGCGCCCATCGTCGGGGTCTCGGGGTCTCCGAACCACCGGGTGCGCCGTTGTGCATGGCGGCCACTTCGCCGTGACGGCTGGTCTCGACGGCCAGACGTCCGCCGACCGCAGGCGCTCTACAACAGCTTCTCACCCAGCAACAAATCCGAGGAGGCAGCCGTCGAGCTGAGAGCTACGCTGGGCGAAGGCGGCCTTCGGACGTTCGGGTTCGAGGGACGTGGATGGAAAATGGAAGAAGTGAGGTGTCCGTCTTTCTGTGTGGTTCTGTGGTGTTGATGTTGATGTCAGACTTGGAAAACCTCTGAGTGGAGACCAGCCGGCCGCCGGCGTCATGAGGGCCCCTAGCTTCTGTGCTGCCTCTGTTCGCCCAAAAGAAATCTGAACCATGCACTCCCTGGCACTCTTAAGGCCCCTCGTACTGGTATCATGTATGCGTTTATCCGTCTATGCGTCTTTTCTGTGTTTTGGTTCTCAATAGGGCCTGGTTCGCTCGCTTCGCAGCTCGCTTCGCAGCTCGCTTCGCAGCTCGCTTCGCAGCTCGAACCAGAAACGAGCGAACGAGGCGCACCGCACGGCTGCGAGAGGCCACCCCGCAGCCGACCCAGCGGACCTCCACCGAGGCCTCTGCGTGTGCGTCGTGGGCGAGGCATCCAACGAGCTGAGCCGCGCCGTCGCCACGCAGTGCTCGGAGGTCTTGGGGAAAGAGGCGCGCTGTTCGCGTTACGCGCTCGCGTTCGCGGGCACCGGTCGGCCATCGAAACACCGGCCTCCAGCGGTCGTGATCGGTAAAGAAAAGCGCCACGGGAGTCCTCGAGAAGTCCTGATGCAGACCCTTTGGGGCACCGCCCAAGTAAAGGACAAACTTCGGATCACCGAATGGTCGACTGGACCTCGCAAGAAGTCGGTCGGTCCAAGCAGGACCGAGTCTGGAAAGGTAGCAAATGGTGGCGAGTGGCGAGTTTCATGGTGCTCCCGTCCTGCCCTTAAGAATCCTTCGGCTCTCCATGGCAGGGGTCGGAGCCGACACCTTCGCAGGGGTCCGGGCCCGAACCATAAACCCTATCTGTTTGAGGGCCTGGATTCTTAGGGTGGATTGTTTCTTGTTTGGTTTCATGTTTCCTCATTCTTAGTATTTGTTTGACCAAAGCAAGAGGAATCTCCGTTGGTCCCTCTGGGTTCACTGGTCCTTCTCAGAACATCAAATCGTGGAGGTTCGGTCTCAAATCCGCCTGGACCTTGACAGCAGTCTGAGACCACCCAAAACACACATCATCAGGGAGACCGAAACCCAGTCTTTTGTTCTTCCACCCAATCCCCAGATCTCCCGAAATCCTTTGCACGGGTCGCTCCCTTCACCTTCCTCCGTTTCATCCAGTCTCCTTCCCCCCCCGACTTCACGGTCCGTCTCCTTCCGGTCGCCGATGCGTCGTCGTCGGACCCCCGACGTCGGCGGACATCACCGTCGGACGCCGCGTCCAGGCGGTCTTCGTGACCTCGGGACAGGACTCGGCGCACGTCTTCGCCGACTTCTGCACCTCCGAGGTCGGAGACGGAAACGGAGAAACGGAGCGGTCTCTGGGACGGAGAGTTTTGGGGAATGGGGGGGGGGGTGGAAGAAACCGGACTCCAAGATGAATGATATGTTTCTTTTTCAGATTTGGATCTTGTTTTTTTGATTGTGCATGATATGTGTTGGGGGGTTGAGTGTGAGTGGATGAAAATCGGTGCAAGGAGGTCAGGAGAGAACACGCGCGATGGGACTGTGTTGGACAGCGCAGAATTTCACACGGTCGGTGTCTACGACTCCATGACATGAAGTTTCTGCGTGGACCTCCCGGTGCTTGAGATGTTGGTCCAGAGGGGAATCCATGTACAACTGCACATGTCACGACTGGTCCAAGTACGAGTAATTTTCGGTTGTTTGTGAGTCTTCCGGTCTTTGGGGAGGGTAAAACGCCCCACAATTGGATCCACGAACTTGCGGGCGGTCAATCTCGCGCGCTCCCACCTTCACCCTTCCTAGATATTCTAGGGGGTTGAAGTGGGGTGAACCAGCAAAAGAACTTCCACAGGCTAACAGGGCAACTAAGGATAAACTGTACACGGAAAAAGAACTCACATCTACGAATGACAGAAAAGAACAACAAAGGGCAGTCGGGGGCCCTGAAGCAAGGACGAAACTGATGCTAGGAATGAATTGGCATATCGAGCATGGGTACTATGGAGCCTTCAGTCTATGCCGACCAGATGGCCCCTTCCAAGCAAGTGTTTATAAATTCATGAGCATTGAGTAACTAATTACAGCCATGGTGTACCACCTCATCTAGAGTTTTCTTACGGAACATAACACACCGGATGTGTTGTGTAAATTTCTCTCTTTTATGAGGTGGAATTTCAGGCCACTCGGGCCATGCAGGTTTATCTTCACGATCAGAGATAGGGAGGACTTGCACCTCATTATGGAGGATCGTGTGGCATCTGAACAATCAAATCCTGTAGATACTTCATGGTTTCTGTCGGGTTGGGGAGGCGGGGGCGGCGTGAGACCCCTGCCTCGTGATATCGGGAGAATCCAAGCCTGGCCAGACTTGACGTCCCTTGTTTCTTATTGTAAGGGCTTCGCCCGGGTGCCGCCGACCCCTTTTCAAGAGGAGGTGCTGACCGTAGCACTTCCTGTGGACGGCCGCAGGTCTATCTGCG